AGGAGAAGGTAGAAATGACTCAGCCTGGAACTGAAAATATGGATGGAGGACAACAGTTTAGCTTGTTTGTCGTGCTAGCGCTGAGCTAATACTTATAAGGCAATATAGCGTGAGGGCTAACGCTAAGGCTAACAGGCTAAGCTGAGGTTGTTCTTCCATGAAGCAGCTCTGTTGTCCTCCATCCATATTTTCAGTTCCAGGCTGAGTCATTTCTACCTTCTCCTCTCTGTCAACGCTCTCTGGTTTCATTTAAATAAAATGGCCCCGTCTGTGTAATATATTTTTAAACTTTTAGTTTGAAAATTATAAAAACTAAACATCCTACAGTATTTTTACAGTTTTTATTTTACAGTTAAAATATATGTTTATCAAATAAAGTTTAATGTTACAACTAATCGTGGATCCCTTTCAAAAACTACCACCTTCATGCACTTTTCTTCTTCTCTACCTCTTCCTGTTTGGCCTGTGGGTGGAAGACTTTGTCCAGCTCAAAGATGCGACTCTTGCCTTTGCTCAGCACCGTAACAGACGACTCGTTGTTGGGATCCGTGGTCACTGCGACGGACTGGCCGTCCTCGTGCTGGTCCTCCTTCAGCACGGGTTTCACGCGACAAAGCACACGAATGTTGCCTGAAAAGCATCGTGAGATGAGCCCTTTTCTGCTTCACAACATTTCAGGGGTTTTGTTTTGTTTTTTACCTTTCAGCTCCACCAGCTGCTCGTGGTACTTCCTGCGCAGCGCCACCTCCTTCCTGTACTTCTCCAGAAGATCCTTGTTGGCCTCGGACATCTCATTAAGAGCTGCTGAGATCTGTCAGAAACAAAACAAGCTAAAAGCACAGCCTAAACACAGACAGCGAGGCTCAGGAAGGGATCGTACCTGTTTTTTGGCTTCATTGATCGCGGCTCCGTAAAACTCAGAGAAGTTTCGGACCTGGCTCCTCAGACTGGCGTAGTCGGTCTTCATGGAGCGTAAGGTGGGGGGGAGCGCCGTCAGACGCTTCTGCATGCCTGACGAAAAGAAAAAAATGGCAACTGAACCGTCTTGGTTGCAGAAAACAAATCTGGTTTCTTCCCTCTGAACCTACTGAAGAATTGGTCCTGCAGGTTCTGGAAGTGTTCGGCTGAGCAGCTTGCCGCCGCCTTCACCGCCTCCTCCTTCCTCTCCTCCAGGTGGCTGATCTCCTTGAGCAGCTCCTCCCTCAGTTTGCCGATCTCTCGCTCGTACGCTGCTATCTGTTAGGAGTTCGGCGCAGAACTTCATCAGTCTGTCAGCTTTAGTTTAGCTCTGTGAGGTCAATCAAGGTTGAAACTTTTCTCTTTGTCTTTTATTTTAAAGGGATCCACGATTAGTTGTAACATTAGACTTACTAGATAAACATACACTCACCGGCCACTTTATTAGGTACACCACGCTAGTAACGGGTTGGACCCCCTTTTGCCTTCAGAACTGCCTCAATTCTTCGTGGCATAGATTCAACAAGGTGCTGGAAGCATTCCTCAGAGATTTTGGTCCATATTGACATGATGGCATCACACAGTTGCTGCAGATTTGTCGGCTGCACATCCATGATGCGAATCTCCCGTTCCACCACATCCCAAAGATGCTCTATTGGATTGAGATCTGGTGACTGTGGAGGCCATTTGAGTACAGTGAACTCATTGTCATGTTCAAGAAACCAGTCTGAGATGATTCCAGCTTTATGACATGGCGCATTATCCTGCTGAAAGTAGCCATCAGATGTTGGGTACATTGTGGTCATAAAGGGATGGACATGGTCAGCAACAATACTCAGGTAGGCTGTGGCGTTGCAACGATGCTCAATTGGTACCAAGGGGCCCAAAGAGTGCCAAGAAAAGATTCCCCACACCATGACACCACCACCAGCAGCCTGAACCGTTGATACAAGGCAGGATGGATCCATGCTTTCATGTTGTTGACGCCAAATTCTGACCCTACCATCCGAATGTCGCAGCAGAAATCGAGACTCATCAGACCAGGCAACGTTTTTCCAATCTTCTCTTGTCCAATTTCGATGAGCTTGTGCAAATTGTAGCCTCAGTTTCCTGTTCTTAGCTGAAAGGAGTGGCACCCGGTGTGGTCTTCTGCTGCTGAAGCCCATCTGCCTCAAAGTTCGACGTACTGTGCGTTCAGAGATGCTCTTCTGCCTACCTTGGTTGTAACGGGTGGTTATTTGAGTCACTGTTGCCTTTCTATCAGCTCGAACCAGTCTGCCCATTCTCCTCTGACCTCTGGCATCAACAAGGCATTTCCGCCCACAGGACTGCCGCTCACTGGATGTTTTTTCTTTTTCGGACCATTCTCTGTAAACCCTAGAGATGGTTGTGCGTGAAAATCCCAGTAGATCAGCAGTTTCTGAAATACTCAGACCAGCCCTTCTGGCACCAACAACCATGCCACGTTCAAAGGCACTCAAATCACCTTTCTTCCCCATACTGATGCTCGGTTTGAACTGCAGGAGATTGTCTTGACCATGTCTACATGCCTAAATGCACTGAGTTKCCGCCATGTGATTGGCTGATTAGAAATTAAGTGTTAACGAGCAGTTGGACAGGTGTACCTAATAAAGTGGCCGGTGAGTGTATATTTTAACTGTAAAATAAAGACTGTAAAAATACCGTAGGATGTTCAGTTTTTATCATTTTTAAACTAAAAGTTTAAAAATATATTACACAGACAGGACCATTTTATTTGCACAAAAACAAAGAGCCATGAGAAAAACGCCTCATCTTGCGTGTGACGCTTCACAGCATTATTTTGTCTTCCGTACGTTTTTCGGCATCTAACTAGTTCCACAATTTTTGTGCTATTTCAACAATTCATATATCAAAACGTTCAGCTCATTCATGCCAAGGGTGCTATGTCTTTTGGTATTTCAGCTATTTATACATTTTCAGCTATTTTACTTTTTTGGCCACTTTCTTCCCATTGAAAATGAACAGAGTTGTTTTCAACATCCTTAAAACCCTTCAAAATGTTTCTAAATCTTTACAACACCTTACACATTTTGTTCTGGTTCTGCTGTTTTTCACTTTCTTGTGCTAATTTTAGCTATATTTTTGCTAATTGTAGCTATTTTCTGCTATTTCAGCTAAAATGCAGCTTCTTTCTACTTTTTGTACTTTTTTCTGCTACTTTGTGCTACTTATGCTTCTTACAGATGCTTTTTTCTATATTCAACTATTTTCTGCAATTTTAGTTAAAGTTCAGCTGTTATTAGCTAAAATTAGCTGTTTTAAGCTAAATGCAGTTTTTGTAGTTATTACAAATTATTTTTGCTATGTTCAGCAAACGAGGTCTTTATAATTCCTTATGCTAATCAAAGGATTTCCAGCTACATTTTAGCTGTTTCACTAAAGATTTCAGCTGTTTTAGSTATTTTACTACAAACTGACACTTTTTTGTACTTGTATGCATTTATTTTTCTGCTAATTTAAATATTTTTACAAAACTTGTGGCTGCTACCTKTAGCTTATTTTTATTCTAATTTTAGCTTTTTCAATTCTTTTTCAGCTTCAGATCTTCTGCTTCTTTCTGCTATTCTTCTGATGTTTTGTACTTTGTGTTTTTTCTGCTAATTTGTGCTATTTATGCTAGATGTTTTCAGCTATATTCATCTATTTTAGCTTTTAGCTGTTTTCATCTAGATTTGTGTTCCTTTTTACTGTTTTTCTGCAACGTTAGGCTTTTTTTTGCTTTCAGATTTTCAAAGTGAGCTCTAATTTTGCTATTAAATATTTTCAGCTTAATTTCGGCAGCATTCAGCTGAAGTTTTCGGCGTGAAACATTCACACTAGCATCTTCGCAGGAAATGCAATTTCTCCAGTTATGGATATTCTTGACCAGAACGGTCTGATTTATGTACATCTTTACAGCCTGAGATATATTTACATCTTAGACAAATAAAACTCAGATCATGCAACTAGAACCTGATTTTCCCACATCTGCTCATGTAAAAGTGATTTTACACGGTGTTGCTGCTGCTCACCTTGTGCTGCAGATTACAGCTGTGCTCATCCGACCTCCTGATCTGCTCCTCCAGCTGTTTGCAGCGCTCGCTCTGATTGGACAGCCTCTCAGACAACACCTCGTTCCTCTGCCTGGCTTTGGTCAGCTGCTTGACCGTGACAGCAGATTCCACTTCCACAGTCTGTGTGACGTACTGACACAGACCACGTATACGTCAGGATCCTCAGGTGCATCTGGGAAATGACCTTAACGGTGATTTACCTTCACGGCGGGCTCCTTGCCTCGCTCTCTGTCCAGCTCCAGCTGCAGCTCCCGCATCCTGTCCTCTTGCTTCCTCAGCTGCTCCCCTCTCCTCCACTCGGTCTGCTCGCTCCTCTGCTGCAGCTGTGAAAGCTGCTCGGCGCGCTGCTGCAGGGACAGCTCCAGATGCTGCACTCTGCCGCGGAGGGTCTCGTTCTCCTGGCGGGTAAAGAGCGTTCACGTAAAAAGCGCGGGGCACCTGGCGAGCTCTGATCCCGAGCTCCCGCCTCTCACCTTGACGAGTGCGGTGCCGGACTGCGACGGGAGGGCGGAGAGCTGCTGCAGGAGGCCCTGCGTGACGCCCAGGCTCTGCTTCAGACTCTCGTTTTCAGCGGAGAGACAGAGAACGCGCTTCTCCGAGTCCGTGGCCCCCTGAAAACATGAGACAGAGGCTGGCCTTTAATTCTGTCAAAGAACCGTTAAATGCAGTAAAAATGACTCACGGTGGCTGTTCTCAGTCGGGACAGCTCCTCCTCTCTCTCCTCTATGCAGCTTTTCAGCTCATCAATCTAAAAGTAATAAGAAGAAAAAGTTTTAAAGTTTGCTGAACATTTTTCCTACTATAGAAGAGTAGAGAAGTATAAATATATAAAACTCTGATACCGTATTAGTTTGTACACAAACAAATCATGTCACACTCCAGCAGGAC